TTCTGCCATAAGGGTGGTGTCATCTGCATATCTGAGGTTATTGATATTTCTCCCGGCAACCTTGATTCCAGCTTGTGCTTCATCCAGTCCAGCGTTTCTCATGATGTACTCTGCATGTAAGCTAAATAAGCAGGGTGACAATATACAGATTTGATGTACTCCTTTCCTGATTTGGAACCAGTCTGTTGTTCCATGTCCAGTTCTAACTGTTGCTTTTTGACCTGTATACAGATTTCTCAGGAGGCAGGTGAGGTGGTCTAGTATTCCCATGTCTTTCAGAATTTTCCACAGTTTATTGTGATCCACAGAGTCAAAGGCTTTGGCATAGTCAATGAAGCAGAAGTAGATGTTTTTCTGGAACTCTCTTGCTTTTTTAATGATCCAATGGAAGTTGGCAATTTATTTCTGGTTCCTCTGCCTTTTCCAAAACCAGCTTGAACATCTGGAAGTTCACAGTTCACATACTGTTGAAGCTGGCTTGGAGAATTTTGAGCATTACTTTGCTAGTGTGTAAGATGAGTGCAATTGTGCTGTAGTTTGAACATTCTTTGGCATTGCCTTTCTTTGGGATTGGAATGAAAACTGACCTTTTCCAGTCCTGTGGCCACTGCTGACTTTTCCAAATTTGCTGGCATATTGAGTGCAGCACTTTCACAGCATCACCCTTCAGAATTTGAAATAGCTCAGCTGGAATTCCATCACCTCCTTTGTTTGTAGTGATGCTTCCTAAGGCCCACTTGACTTCACATTCCAGGATGTCTGGTTCTAGGTGAGCAATCACACCATCATGGTTATCTGGGTCATGAAGATCTTTTTTGTATAGTTCTTCTGTGTATTCTTGCCACCTCTTCTTGATATCTTCTGCTTCTGTTAGGTCCTTACCATTTCTGTCCTTTATTGTGCCCATCTTTGCATGAACTGTTCCCTTGGTATCTCTGATTTTCTTGAAGAGGTCCCTAGTCTTTCCCACTCTATTGTTTTCCTCTATTTCTTTGTATTGATCACTGAGGAAGTCTTTCTTATGTGTAGAGAAGACTCTACACATGGACATCACCAGATGGTCAATACAGAAACCAGATTGGTTATATTCTTTGCAGCCAAAGATGGAGAAGCTCTATACAGTCAGCAAAAACAAGACTGGGAGCTGACTGTAGCTCAGATTATGAACTCCTTATTGCCAAATTCAGATTTAAATTGAAGAAAGTAGGGAAAACCACTAGGCCATTCATGTATGACCTAAATTAAATCCCTTATGATTATACAGTGGAAGTGAGAAATAGATTCAAGGGATTAGATCTGATAGACAGAGTGCCTGAAGAACTATGGATGGAGGTTCATGACATTGTACAGGAGGCAGGGATCAAGACCATCCCCAAGAAAAAAAAATGCAAAAAGGCAAAATGGTTGTCTGAGGAAGCCTGACAAATTTTATCTGTTAAAAGAAGAGAAGGGAAAGGCAAATCACAAAAGGAAAGATGCTCCTGCAAATATAGCTTATTTCTTTCTTTCCAACATGTGTGCCTTTTGTTTAATTACGTTTATTTATCTTCCTGGCCTTACTGAGTTGGCCAGGCCCTCCTGTACAATGGCAAATAGAAACGATGAGAACAGACAATTAATTACCTTGTTCTCAAGCTTAGGAGAAAGCTTTCAGCCAATCACCCTTAAGCCTGATGCTATTTGTAGGTATTCATGGCTATTCTCTATGAACTTGAGGAAAATCTCTTCTAATCTTAGTTTGCTGAGAGTTCTCTTCATGAATGAATTTTGCAGAATGGACATGGCAAAATGACTTTTCTGCCTGCTTTAAAATGATCACAGGATTACCTCCTTATTCTGTTAATGCAGTAATTACCTTGATTCATTTTTGAAATCTTGAGCCAATCTTGCATTCCTCAAATAAATCCCACTAGTCTTCCTCTGTATCGTTGAATTAATTTGCTAATATTTTGTTATTGAGTATCATGTAATATATTTTTCTGTGAAAGATGTATTCTGGTTCAAGTCCATGAAAGATATTGGTCTGTTCTCTTTTCTTATAATTTCTTTGTCTGGTTTTGGTATCAGGGCATTACTGGCCTCAAAAAAAGGGATCTTAATGTTTCCCTTGTCTATTTTCTAAAAGAATATGTGTTGTTTTGGTACTATTTCTTTCTTATAAATTTTATAGAATGTACCAATGAAGCCTTTGGGAACTGGAGTTATGTTTGTAGAAAGGTAGATGGTTAAAAAAAATTGATTTTTGGGATAATTTTAGAGATATGTAGAATTTCTATTCTTCTTGAGTCGGTTTGATAATGTACAGTTTTCAAAAAATCTGTCTGTTTATCTAAGTTATCAAATTTATGGGGCACATGGCTGGGAATTTGGCTTTGTTTACAGTTTTTTTGGACAGACCCAAAGCTGTGTATAATTAGTGTATGCATTTGATGAATTTAGAGATAAGTATACACTGGTGAAACTATGACCACAATCCATGCCATCAAGTCCCAAAATTTTCTCCCACCATCTTATTTAAGTTTTTCATGATACTCCTTACTTTCTTTTTAATGACTGTAGGATCTGCAGTAAAATTTTATCTTCATTTTTTATGTTGGTAAGTTATATGTTCTCTGCTTTTTTCTAGGAGTTTATTAAATTCTTTAATTTTTTTTAGAACAAATTTTGGTTTTATGAATTTTCTGTTTCATTTTTATTTCATTATTTCTGTAGTTATCTTCATTACTTCCTCCTTTCTACTTATTTTGCATTTCCTTGTCTCTTCCTTTTTTTCTTTTTTTGGTTTTTAAGGTAAGCATGGATCACTGATTTTAAACCACTTTCCCTTGCTTACCATAGTTAAAGAAATAAATTCCACAAAAATTATTTTTATCGATATCTTACACATTCTGAGATGATAATGTGTCTATGGTAATCCAGGTTAAAATAATTTCTCATTTTTTCTGATGAATTATTCTTTGATCCATGGGGGAAGCTTATTAATTTCCAAATATGTGGGAACTTTCTAGATATCTTATTTTGATTGATTTCTCATTTACTTCTTCTATGGTCAAAGAACATACTCTGAAGTTTCAGTGTTCTGAAAGTTACTTATTTCTTATCCCAGAAGTGGTCTGTCTTGGCCAACATCCCACGAACAAAAGTAGGTACCTCTTCTGGTTGTTGGTAGAGTGTTCTGTGAGTGTCGGAGGGGTCGGGTGGTTGACAATGATGCTGAGGTCATCGGCATCTCACTGATATTTTGCCTTGGTGTGTAAGTGCTTAGAGAGACACATTAAGTTCTTCCCTGCTTCCCCTCCTCCACCAGTCTGCTCCACCTGTTGTCAAATGCTGGTGACTTCATCTACCTGTACAGGTCTAGCCAGTACCAGCGAGTCCATCACAGCTGGGAGAGAAAATCCCAAGTAGTCCACTGTTACCTTACTTTGCCCTAAGCTTGACATTTCTTTATCCTCTGGAAAAATTTATAAACTTCTTGGCCCCATCTGGCACACAGTAGGTGCTCCATAAGTCAAGCATGGATGGTAAGTAACGAGTGAAGATCGTCTGACTTCTCTCTCTCCAGAAGTCACCAGAATGGGTCTGTGTTCCTGTTAGCTTGCTGGGAAGTGTCAGGGAGCCTGGCTCTTCCCTGCCCACCGTGGCCCCTCCGCACGCTGGCCTGTGTTCCCGTCCCTGGCGGTACTTCCTGATCCAGCAGAGGCTGGGCTGGGCTGTCTCCATCTTGGTCTTAACTTCCTTTGCTCTGAAGTGTAAGGTCTTTCACATCCTACTGAAAACCAGGACCCAAACTACAGATTTCCCCTCTTTTATCCATGGGTCCTCATCAGTCTTGTCCCCCAGTATTTGTCTATGTGGGTCTGTTTCCTAAAACCGTGCAAATGATAGATTTTTAATCTTTAATAATATGATATTACAAGTAAATTGCTTTTCTGTTCTAATTGTTTGTTTTAGAAATCTTTATATATATGTTTAGGACTCCCCTGGTGGCTCAGCTGGTAAAGAATCTGCCTGCAATGCAGGAGACCTGGGTTTGATCCCTGGGTCAGGAAGATCCCCTGGAGAAGGGAAAGGCTACCCACTCTGGCATTGTAGCCTGGAGAATTCCATGGACTGGAGAAATCCATGTCGTCGCAAAGAGTTGGACACGACCGAGCGACTAACACTTTCACTTCCATCTCCCATTATGCGGTGTTTGCCGTTTGCAAAGAACTTTCACATCCATCATTTCATTTGAATGTCATAGCCCCTCTAAGATGTATTGCTCCAATATAATTTTTTCCCATTCTCAAATGAGGAAACTTACATTTAAGCAGGTCAGGCGAGTCATCCAAAGTCACTGAGCCAGTAAATGCCATCCTGCCCTTGAAACTCCCAGGTCCGTGTCCTTCCCTTTGGCACCCTCTCTGCCTCTTCCACACTTTCTCCTGCTCAGCCTCCCTTCTCTGTTTCCTTGGTGGAAAAGAACCCAACGTGTGGGATTCTCTGGAGACTCGTATAGTGGATGCATAAACCAGGAATAGTGCACCCATAAAAGCTGGCAATATGTGAACCCCAACACTTGAGAAACTGTGTCACTATGTAACTTTTAAAAGTCATTTAAGTTGGCCTCCCAGGCGGCTCAGTGGTAAAGAACCCATCTACTAATGCAGCAGACAAGAGTTCGATCCCTGGGTCGGGAAGATCCGCTGGAGAAGGAAATGGCAACCCACTCCAGTATTCTTGCCTGCAGAATTCCATGGATGGAGGAGCCTGGCGGGCTATAATCCATAGGGTCGTGAAAGAGTCGGACACGACTTAGCGACTAAACAACCACAAATCTGGTTTCCCAGTCAAAACAAAGTATAGAATAGAAACTTTGAACAAAATGGCTGTGAAGGGGAGTCAGGAGTGGGGGTGGGGTTGGCAACAGACGTTCCAGTTAGGTCAGACAAAAAGGAGAGGGTTTTCCACAAGCCCCAGATCCACAGAGCCCCTAAATAAAAGTGGTCCCCTTCCACCCCAGAGCTGCTCGGTTTGAACACCGTCAGAAGTGCCACAGGAATGTCTCGGATGCGGTCTCCGCAGCCCCCTGACCAAGATGTTAATCCGTTTCAGGGGCTCCAGTTTTTATAAAAACTCCAGGGAAAACCACTTTAGAACATCCAGAGGAGCCCACATCTCTCGAGGCGCTCGGGAAAGCCTGCACGGACTGCTCACTTCTGTGGAATCAGCCCCTCATTCATCTTTGTCGCTGGGAGATTTTCACAAAGAGCCCCGAGCAAGGCTTCCAGCTTGGAGAGTCAAACCCACCGAGTGTGTCTAGACACACAGACGTGCTAGGAAGCGGCAGCGATGAAGCAGCTCATTATTTTTACGCAGGTCTGTCACTCGACAAATATTCTGAGTATGTGAATAAAACCAGGAAGGGATCGATGAATGCATAATTAGCTCCAAGTTATTTAAAAAGCAGGTTGACACTTATCGCCCTAGAAAGGAACAGCCGTTCCCTTGGATTCCATAGACTTTCCACAGCGTTTTCTCTGCCACCTCAGAACCCTGGGGACAGAAATAGTCTTGATCCTGGTGTACACTCATACATAGTCGTTGACTCAATAAATGAATGAATACAGAGTGTTCAACAGTGGGGCCTAGAGAAATAATTTCAATGCTTTTCTGAAATAGAAATGCAGGCTATAGTGATCACGCCCAGCGAATTCCTCCTCCTAAGAAGCTCGCTCACGTGGTCCAGGCCTCCAAAAGCCAGGGCTGAGGCGGGCCCTTCCCCCCACCTCCAAAGGGACTGTCCAGCCACCCCCCACAACGCTTCCACACCCAGCTGCCCTGACCGGCCACCCCGACACCAGTCATACCACTGGAGGCTCAGACTTGTCTCGTTCATACCTGAGAATCGTGTTCAACCTGGATCTGGCCCAAGTGAGGCTAGAGCCAATAATTACTGAGCACGTTAAATAATTTAAAACAGTTCCATTTAGACGGCAAACGCTATTACACATCTGAATGGAAAAGTGTTTTGTTTCACAAAATCTAGAGGGATTAGTGAGTATTCAAAAATCCCTTTTGGGAGCCCTCCTACACCGTTGGTGGGAATGTGAATTGAGGCGGTCACTATGGAGAACAGAATGGAAGTTCCTCAGAAAGCTAAAAACAGAGTTCCCATATGATGCAGCAATCCCATTCTGGGCCTATATCTGGACAAACTGTCATTCAGAAACATGCACGCCCCCCAACGTTCATAGCAACCCTGCTCACAGTGACCAAGACACGGAGCAGCGTAAATGAGCCTCACAGGTGAGAGAAGACGCACAGTGAGGCGGGCAGGGCAGCCCACGCCAGTGCTCTTGCCTGGAGAATCCCATGGACAGAGGAGCCTGGCCGGTACAGTCCACGGGGTCGCAAAGAGCCGGACACGACTGAAGTGGCTTAGCATGCATGCATGCATACAGTGGAACCCTACTCAGCCGTAAAAAGGGGCGAAATGTTGCCGTTTGCAGCAACGTGAATGGACCTAGAGATTATCGCAGCAAGTGAAGTAAGTCAGACCGAGAAAGGCAAATACCATATGATATCACTTATACGTGGAATCTAAAATATGACACAAATGACTTATTTACAAAACAGAAACAGGCTCACAGACGCAGGAAACCAACTTGGGGCTACCAAAAGGGAAAGGGTGTGGGGAGGGATAAACTAGGCATTTGGGATTAGCACATGCAAACCACTACACACACAACAGATGAACAGCAGAGGGGAACTACATTCAATACCCTGTAATGAACCATAATGGAAAAGAATGTGAAAAAATATATATATACATATATATAACTGAATCATTTTGCTGTTTACCTGAAGCTAACACAATTCAGTTAAAAAACCCCTTTTGACCCAAATCTACCACCACAAAAATATAATAATGAAGTCATATTAGTAAATGTATATAAAATATATAACATGTATTTAATACAGTTGTTATTCATACTACATTTTTTATCTATATTATATATAGATATACATATGTCCTTGCTTCCTGGGAAAAACCTTGATAACCCTACCAGTTTCCACTGACTTAGCTTTACTTATTGGATTACCTCTCATATATAAGTTGAAAATGTGGAACTTAGAAACATGTAACAGAGACGGTCTTTCTGGATATGACACAAATAGAGGCAAATTCAAAACAGAAAGCTAATACCGAGTGGGTATTAGAAATGGATTGTTTGATTAAATCTTGTCTGAATTATCAGGTACATAATAAGAAAAGTGTCAGCTTCGCCTGCGGAGCTGGGCCATCCCTCCGTGCGGTTAATCTTCTTCTAAAAGAGACCAGATACTTCTCGGTGGCAACTGAAAACCAACATTTTTCTTATTTAAGATGATTGGAATGACGGATGCATAAATCATAACATATGAAATTCTCCCATAACTCAGACTCCTCCTAATACTAAACATTTGTTCTGATTTCTTGACAACCACTGCATGTGGGAGAGGCTTAGCAGATATGCTTGTGCTAATACGGGTATTTTAGGAAATGTTAACTTTGCCTTGTGCTGTCTTGAAACTAGAATACTGAGAAACTTAAATGAGAGTTGATTGAAAAGCATTGATTTAATTGATACTTTTACAGCATCTGACCACCACTTTGGGGCTTCTTCTACATTCTTGTAAAGAAAATAGAATGACTTTGGTCAGTCATCTGGCTGGTTTGTTGTTTCTTTTTTGCGGGGGGAGTGGTGCTTTTGTATTTTTGTTTACTTTTCATTTTCTTGAGATCTCAAAACTGACCCATTACAGACCCTGGAGGAATTCGGCTTGAGAATACAATCTAAAATATGGAAAACATGTTATTGTAATAGACTATTTGTCCTAATATGAAAGCAATTGGAAATAGCTGATATTTCAAAGCATCTTCAAGACAGAATGCCATTCAGCCATTCAAAATTTCATCCGCGCAAGGCACTAAAAATAATGGGAAAAACACTTGAACGGGTTATAAACTGCATCTATTTCAGAGTCTGATAGAAAATTACGTGCAGGGACGAAGTCTGGGAGGAGAAACTCAAGTTCATATTCCGCAGGAACGCTGACGAACGGCTCTCTTCTCTCGTCTCCGGCTTTATGCTGAGAATACCAGGGGGTGAGAAGCGGGCTGTCTGCGAGGACGGGTGACCTTGGCCGGCCCGTTGCCGCTCGGACACAGCTGACTGTGCACTCCGGACCCGGCCCCACGCGGGAAAGGGCGCCGTGAGAGCTATGTGTCTGCACATTGCTGTCCTCGGCTGTCACCTGGGGGTGACATTTGTCCAGGTTCCACGGGGGCCGCGCTGAGCCTTCCGCAGACTGAATGGCGTTGGGACGGCCCTTGTTGTCACTTGCTGGAAAGAAGCGCCAAGCGCGGTGAATCCGCACTTCCGGCGCCCCTGCAGCCCTCCAGCCGCCTGGCGTCGGGCAGACCCCCCTCCTATAACCTCGCCACTTGTCCTCCCTGGGCTCGACGACGCCCACCCACCACTCCTCTTATCGTACATGGTGGGGCTGCGCTTGACTGAAGCTCCCCCTGTTCCACCAACTGTACCCAGGAACCCGGGGGCCGCCAAATGCAAGTTAAAAAACGACACCCCATGATCAGCCTGTACCCCTGGGAGAAGGACCCAGATGAGGGGTGCTCGGGGTGCCTGTAAGCCAGCCTTGAGACTGTGAAACAGCATGGGAAAGGGAGCAGGCGTCTGCATCCCCAGCCAGGGGTACCATTGGCGTGACCGCCACCCCCAGATCGGCCTTCCAGGAATCAACACAGCCCTGATGTTTGGGGAGGCTTCCCTGGTGGCTCCGTGGTAAAGAATCCGCCTGCAATGCGGGAGACCTGGGTTTGATCCCTGGGTTGGGAAGATCCCTTGGAGAAAGGAATAGAAACCCACTCCGGTATTCTGGCCTGGGAAATCTAGGCCACAGAGGAACCTGGTGGGCTACAGTCCAAAGGCTGACAAAGAGTTGGATGCGACTGAGTGACTTAGCACACATAAGGTTTGGGCAAGTGCCCGGTTGCTCTATCAGCTTTCTTGCCCCCCAAACTCAGATATTGGACAAATCAGAAGTAGTGATGCCCATTTCACAGAGGCAGAAGCTGAGGCTGGGATGGGGTGGTATGGGGAGCCCTGGTGGGCCCCATGGGCTTAAACTGCAGAGCTCCCCTTGTGTAGCCCCCCACACACACATTTTGCGGGGTGGCCTGTGATTCATTTGGGGCTTGCTGCGACCAGGTGCCAGTCCTGGGCAACCTTTTTGGGGAGCAGTTGGGCCTCTGAACCCCACACAAGACACACCTGCCCTGGGAGGGAGGCAGGGCCCACCCCCGAGACCCCCATCTGTACCTCGTTTCCCCATCAAGGCAGTCCAGCCTGTGAACACCGTCTCCCCTACAGAAGGGAGGGAGGCAGGGACACGCAAGGGTGCCAACAGGGGCTGGCTGCCAACAGGGGCTGGCCACCCTCCGGGGCCACCCTGAGGGGACAGCTGGGGCTCAGGGCCACCACCCCTGCAGGGAGCAGAGAAGAGAGCCTGGGGCAACAGCCCTGCTTCGTGCCGTCGAGTCCTCGAGTTCTGCTCTGTCCGTCCAAGCTCTGAGGGTGAGAGAGAAGGACCTGCAGAGGGGCATAGTTAGTGGATCCTCCCGGGTGGATGCCTGGAGACCAGAGAGGTGGGTGCACGGAGCCAAACCTGGATCACCAGCCTGCAAGATCCTACTCCAGGTGCTCCCACCACTCTGTGCCTTTGTCCACACTGGGTCTGGGGGTGACGGATGTGGGCCCATCTCGGTCCCCAGAAGCTGGGACTGGAGGGGACTGGAGAGCTCAGAGCAGGGTTTCAGTGCTGCCTCTTCACCATTGGGGGTGTTCCCTGCCCTGGAGGCGGGGCTCTCAACCACTAGCATTGAGCGGGTACAGCAGATGGAGAGTTTCTAGGACACAGACTTAGCCCCAAGGAACCCACACTGCGCCGGGCCCTGCATGAGGTGGGCCCCAGAGCCAAGAGGCCCAGCCAGGCTTTGGGAGGGGACGTGGGGTGGCCAAAGGGTGGGATGCCCCCGAACCCCTCGGGGGTATGACAGGGAAGGATACAGGGTGCCTGGTCCCCGAGACAAGGACGGCACAGGACGGGGTGGGGACCTGTGCCCAGGCCATGTGGGAGCCATGGTTTAAGCCTCCCGGCGCCACAGACTTCAGGGGGGTGGGCAGAGAGGCCGCAGACGGGGCGGGAGACGAGGCGGATGGAGTGGCGGGGTCTTCCTGAGGGAAGGACCGCTGAGGCCGCAGGGGCTGAGTGAGCGGGCAGTGCCTGGAGAGGCAGGGCTGCCAGGAAGGGGGTGCAGGATGCCACTGGGCTCCCCGTGGTCCGAGTGCCCGGCTTGACCCGCCGTTGGGCCACCAGGTGCGGTGGGAGGGCGGCCAGCAGAGCCCCCGTCTCAGAGGGTCTGTGAGCAAGAACAGAGCCCACAGCCGGCCGCCGGAGCCTAATGAGAGCCAGGTGGGGCCACACCTCGCCTGTCGGGCGGCACCTCCAGGCTTTGATCAGCGATAAGGGCCTAAGTGTTCCCAGGACCCCTGCCCTCCCCCACCGCCGCCCTGCGGACACCACTTCCCTTTCAAAGCCACCTCTCATCACCCACCCCCAGGGCAGATGGAGGCGAGGCCAGGAGGGCTGCAAGGCAGGGGCCCCGGCCCCCAGGACCCGCCTCGCAAACGCCAGCACCCGGGCACGAGGGCCCACCTGCTGGCACCCACTCGGGATGCAGTCCAGACGGCGCAAACCCTCCTCCCAGCCCAGGGCTCTGGGCCTCCATCAGCCTTCGGGAACTTGGGCCACCCCCAGGGTTGTAGGAGACCCCAGGGGAGGTCAGGGGCTCAGACAGTGCCTCCCCCCCAAAAATGGGCCTGATATCACTTTTCTGAGCCACCCCTTCCCTTCTCTTCTATCTTGGTTACTTCTCTTGATTTAAAAAGTAGATTTGCAAAGTCTGCTTTCTCTGCCAGAGTGGGTGGGGGGGTCACCGCTGAGCCCTGCCGTGGGGGCCGGGTGGCTGCAGCGGACACGCTGCCCCTGCCCCTCGGCCACAGGGAGGCGGGGTCTGGGCTGCGGGGTCTCCGGCAGCGGGGGTGCCTGAGCATCCCCCCACTTCTGTGCCCTGTGGGTGGGCAGAGCAGACGTCCCGCCGAGGCCTGAAGACATGGAGCTGCGGGTGCGGCTTGTGGGGGTGTCCGGAGCGTGTCGGCAGGGGCGGAGACCAGCAGGGCCGCGAGGGCCGGGCGGCTTGCTTTGGGTCCCCAGCCTGCCCGCCCCACAGCCACGGGGCTCCGGAAGTGGTCCCCTGCTCCTCCCTGAGCTCGGGGCCATCGCAGGCTGGGCGAGAGCTCAGGGTGGCTCTGAGGTCTGACATTAGCTTCATGGTCCGATCCCTGGGTCGGGAAGACCCCCTGGAGAAGGACATGGCAACCCTCTCCAGTATACTCGCCTGGAGAATCTCATGGACAGAGGGGCCTGGCGGGCTACAGTCCAGGGGGTTGCAAGGAGTTGGGCACGACTGAGTGACCTCACTTTCTTTTACTGTTATTACTGTTACGGTCAGCAGCCTAAAGAATGAGGCCCGGGCTGGCTTTAAGCGACTCAAAGCCCTGACGTACATGCCGAGGACTCAAAGCCCTGACGTACATGCCGAGGAACCTGCATGAAACAGCGGGCTCCTCGCAGCCGTTGCTGCAGCCGTCCCCCGTCCTGGGCGATGGCCTCTTGCAGGAAGCGCAGGGTGAAGCCACCCCCTCCCTGGCGCACCATGCACTCCCCCGGCATCCCTCCTGAAACGCAGCCACGATGCACACAGGCATGGGCGACAGAGGAAACAGAGGGATGTGTGCACGTGTGCGAGTGAGTGTGAGACAGAGACACGGGGGGAGGGGGAGGGAACACGGGGAGAGGAGAAAAGCGAAGACCGCGAGCGTTCACCGTTTGGGAACCGGAGTGAAGGGCACGCAGGAAGTCTCTGTAGTTTTCCTGCAGCCCTTTCCTGAGTCTGACATTCATCAAAGCGAAAGCTGGGGTCAGACAGCGCAGGGGTCCGGAGGACAGACCCCCACAGCAGCCTGCTTGGAGGCCAGGGGCCCTGGAACCAGCTCCGAGGCCCAACCCCGGGGGGGTCCTTCCACCTGGGGGCTGTGTGATGACCAGGAACGGTGGGTCGACCCCCTCCACCTGCCTCCCGACCCCTTCCCTGCAGACTGGAGAGCCAAAACAGGCAAGACCCGTGAGAGATGCTGGTTGGGTCATGTCACCAGCATCCCGGCCCCCCTCAGTCCCCAGGGCCACCCTGTGGCCCCAATCCACACAGCCACGCACCGCGCTCTGGGCTCTTAGGTCACTGTGTCCAAAATGAGACGCCGAGCTTGCAACTTGCAGCCAGAAATGGGCTACCCTCCCTGCCTCAGACCCCAGGCTGTCTCCCTTTTCAGGCGGGGCCGGGCATTTGCGATCTGGGGTCCGGAAACCTGCCCGACAGGCTGTTGGTTGGATCAGGAAAGAACCAGCTGGTGTGAACTGCCCATGCTCTTCTAATAGTGGCCCATTTACAGCTCGTTTTACTAAGTCTGGACTAGGGAGTTGCTCCGAGGTCTACATTATCGTGTCAACTAAATATTACTACGTTTTGAGAGGGTCACTTCCTCCAGGAAGCCTTCCCTGATATCCTTAGACTGGGAGAGATGCCTTCTCTGCACTCTCACAGGCCCCCGGGCCTCCTTCTGTCATCGACAGAAGTAATCGACCTACTTCCACACGAGGCCACCTTGGGGGCAGGGCTCAGGACTGGAACGTCTCCTTGGGGGGGACACCGTCCGACTCAGTGCACCCCACTCTCCCAGCTCTGGGTGAGAAGTGCTCACCGGCACAGATAAAGCGGCAAGACGAGGGGCGAGGGGCTCCTTACAGGGGCCGCGGCCCCGGGAGGCGGGGTTCGGGGGCGGGCGCTCGGAGCAGGGAGGCTGTGAGGCTGTGACTCTTCCTGCCTTCCTGAGGCCTGACCCAGCTCAAGACTCAGCCAGGGCCATGCAGCTGACGCTGCTCTCTGAGCCCAGAGGGCAGGCTTGTGGCCGTGAGCACGGGAAGACTGCCCTGAGGAGACAGCCGTGTGGGTTAGAGAAACCTCCAGGCTGAGCAAGACCCCTGAGCCCCCCGAGGGAGGCGTGGGGCAGGATGACAGCCCCAGAGAGGCCCCTGTCCTAACCCCCGGCGCCTGCAAGGGAATTTAGATCGCTGATCTTAATTAACTGCTGGCCTTAATACAGAGATGAAGATCCTGGGCTGTCAGTGGGGGGGCTGGGGGAGAGGTAAGGCAGTTACGAGGTCCCTCAGTGTGGAGGAGGGGCAGGCGGGCTCAGAGGGGCGGGACGTGAGGGACCCCGCCCAGGGCCGCTGGCTCTGCAGGTGGAGAACAGGCCGAGAGCCCAGGAGTGTGGGCAGCGCCTCCCAGACCTGGGAAAGGCAGGAAACAGGCCCCTGGGGAGCGTCCAGAAGGATCCGGGACCCGCCAACACCTTAATTTTATCCCCATGAGACCGCACTGGACTTCTGGCCTCCGGAACTGTGTGTATTGTCCACTGAGCACGTAACTACAGTCCTTTCAGTCGCTCAGTTGTGTCTGACTCTTTGCGACCCCACGGACGGCAGCACGCCAGGTCTCCCTGTCCATCACCAACTCGCGGAGCCTCTCAAACTCATGTCCATCGAGTCGATGATGCCATCCAACCATCTCATCCTCTGTCGTCCCCTTCTCTGCCTTCAATCTTTCCCAGCATCGGGGTCTTTTCAAAAATGAGTCAGCTTTCCGCATCAGGTGGCCAAAGTACTGGAGTTTCAGCTTCAACTACTGCAGTAGTAAACTAGATGACTCGTTGGCCCAACAGTAGAAAACTGATCCAAATGGTTAAACAGCACTGCAGGAGGCCTGGCTGCCGTGGAGAGGGGCGTGTGTGGGCAGTGAAGGAGCGGGAGTCGCTTCCCTCCTGCGGGTTAGTGCGGTCAGGGTGGGGGGCCCAGGAGACGAGCCAGGCGAGGGAGGTGAAACCCCAGCACCCAGGCATCAGGGAAGAAGCTGAGCCGCTGGAGCAGGGAGCAGGGGCCAGGCAGACTTGTGACCTTCCCCACGCGTCCGAGGACTCGGGGAGGTGCGGCCCCAACTGCAAGAGCTGTCCCTATGGGGCTGTGCCCGAGGCAGAGAGAACCTGCCCGGTAGTAGACGTCCCGGCCTGGGACATGGACAAGCAGAGGTCTGTACCCACCTCCAGGTCAGGCTGGTACCCAAGCCAGAGATGCTGCCTGCACATATCGGTGGGGACAGGGAACTGGAGCCTCTGGGTGATGGGGCGGGTGCAGTATGTGGAGGGGTGAGCCCCGGGGTGGGGGGTTGGCAGGCAACTGGGAAAGCAGACTTGCCCAGCCAGTCCCTTCCTGCCAGGAGAAGGCACCGCCCTGCCCCCCCATCCAGCTGATGACCTGGCCGGGAGGGTCACCTCCCTGGGCCTCAGGTCCCTTTTCTGTACCAAGGGGACAGTTGACACATGCCCTGGGGGGCGGGGGGCGGCTGAGGACCATCAGTTCCCCGAGCACCTTTCACCACCAGGAGCCCCGGATGGGTGAGCACCCCGAGATCAGAGCCCCCGTTCACTCTCTCACCCCAGCCCCATCCCGTGGCCTGAAGGTGGGAGAAGACTGCAGGGATCTCATGATGCCAGGACACCCAGGGGCCCCTGACGGGGGGTGCAGGGCTCGGTCCTGGGCACTCCAGCCTCCAGCGAGCAGGCAGGGGGCAGCCCGACACCCCCGGCTGCGAGGGAGAAGGGGACGCTCCTTACTCTCCCACAGAGGGGCCCTCAGCTTCCTGCAGGGGTCACTCTCAGTCTGAGAAGGGGTCACTGGGCAGCACCCAGGCTACGGAGGGCTTGGAGCTGATGTCATTTTGGAATGGGACTCTTAGAGTATAAAATTGTGCGTCAGCTCTGTTAACCGCTCCTCAGCCTTCAGTCTGAGTGTTTCCTGCAGGGATCTAACTGTGGCGGCGACTGGGGCCAGAGAGGCCCCCGTGACGCTGCTGGGAAGGACCCCGGGGAGGCGGCAGACCCCAGTGAGGCTTAGAGCCCAGGACTCTCACATCCCCCCTGCACCTCCCGGCGAGCGGAGGCCGCCCGTGCCACGTCTGAGGGTCCAGCTTTGCGGTGTCTTTAGATGCTGGGCACAGGGTGTCAATTTCTCTCTGGAACCGCCTCCTCCTGCCTCCAGGCCCATAAGGAGGTCCTGATAAGTGCATCACCTTTTTTGTTGACCCCGCTGGGAGGAGAGGGGTTGGAGTTCCCGCCCTGGCATCTCCCACAGCTGTGTCTGTGTTTCTCTATCTCTTCACCTCCCCCAGGGATGTGCAATTGTTTTGCATTTACCGCAGAGTTGAGGGGCAAAGGGCCGTCACAGAAACCCCGACTGACCCCTCTCACTGTAACGGTTCCCCGTTCAAAGGTGAGAAGACCAATTCGGGGATGCTACCAAGTATTTTCCCACGTTTAAAAAAATTGTGGTAAAATGCACACAATACAAAACTTAGCATTTTTTATCATTTTTAAGTGTATCGCTCAATGGCATTAAAGATCATTCACAGTTTTTTTAAAATGTTGGTCTATTTATTTGGCTGTGCGGGTCTTGGTTGTGGCATGTGGGCTCTAGACCCCCGACCAGGGGTTGACCCCTCTGCTCTGGGAGCACAGAGTCTCAGCCACCAGAGCCCCTGGGAAAGCCCCGCGTTTTTAAACTGAATGAAAGATATTGATGAAAGAGTCTTTACATTTCATGAAGAGTGAAGCGAAGTGAGGCCACTCAGGCGTGTCCGACTCTTTGCGACCCCAGGGATTGTAGCCCACCAGGCTCCTCAGTCCACAGAGCTTTCCAGGCAAGAATACTGAAGTGGGTTGCCATTGCCTTCTCCAGGGAACCTTCCCAACTCAGGGATCACACCCGGGCCTCCTGCATTGCAGGCAGATGCTTTACCGTCTGAGCCACTAGCGCTCTGTGATTTTCAGAAGTTTCATGCAGGTGGTTTCGTATAATCCCCTGATGGCCCTTTTCTCTCCCCACCCGAGTTGCCCCTCCCTCTTCCTTCTCGCTGTATATATGTGAGTTCTCTGTACCTGTGAGTCTGTGCCTGGTTAATTTTATTTTATATCAGAGTGCAGTTGATGTACAGTGCTGCTGCTTTCTTTGTTACATTCACTCACCTATTGTATTTTTTAAATCACACACACATGTGAACCCATCCAGTATCTGTCTCTCTGTAGGTTTTTCACTTTGTGAGCGAACATCACCGTCATTCATTTCCAGAGCGTCCTCGTCTTCGCAAACTGGAGCTCAGCCCCCAGTAAACAGAAGCCCGCACTCCCCACCCCTCTCCCCAGTCTCCGGCAACCTCTGCTTTACCTTCTGTCTCTGTCAGTTTGGCTAAGGTGCTTCATGTAAGTGGACTCATCACCCGGGGGGGCAACCTGAGGGTCCCCAACCCACCCAAACCATCTCTGTAAAACACACGTGCGCCTGCCTCATGTAAAACACAAGGGCACCTTCCTTGTGTTCTGCCTTTGTTAGAAATGGCTTCCACCGCCCTGCCGTTTCTAGTAAAAACCCCCCTCCAGGCAAATCTGCAGAAAACCCAGACTGGCTGGATGGTAATATCTGATATGATGGGAACAGGGAACCACGAGGAGCTCAAATTCACTGGCCGGACTGCAAAACTGGGACAAAGGTGGCTCGACGGCTCACTAGAGTCTCATTTTAATGCTGAGACCCCCGTCTAGTGGGCGCCTTGTTGGTGCCCCCTGCTTCAGAGCCCGTCCCCCATCAAGGGGCAGGAAAACACTTGGCTCGCCCCAGGAAACCGCCGCCCATTTCTGTGGGCCTCAGTGGCAGAGGCCTCGGGCCCACACCACCCCTTCGGCCCGCTTTCCTGTAGAAAGCTCGCCCTTGCCTGCACTCGGGGAGAAGGTGCTTTCAGAGCAGGAGCTCGCCCTGCCCCGTCCTCAATCAGCAGATAAAGTTTCAGTCTGGTCCCCCAAATCGGCCTTTTGCCTTCTGGATGGGAGCGGCCCTGGGCCGGGAAGAACTGAAGGAGAAGGAACGGTGGGGGCCAGCATCACACGGGACCTGTGCCCCTAGGCCTGGTGGTTTCACCGGCATCGCGTCCTCAAGGCTCCCTGTGTAGCGTGGGCTCCTGCCAGTTTTCCGTACCCTGTTCTCGCTCGATATTCCGGGACTGGGGAAGCCGCTGCTGGGCGTGTGCACAGGCCCACTGGACCCTCTGCGAGGGGAACTGGACCGGCCCATCTAGCCCCTGACCTCGCTGCATCCCTACTCAGCCCTGTGGACCATGGGGGCCTTTGGGTCCCTGGGGATTCACATGAGTTCACAGCTGTTATCCAGCAACCACTAGGAGGATGTGACAGTATGTGTTGATTTGACCAGCCATGGGGTCAACACGACTCTGGGTGTGTCTGCAAGAGGGTCTCTAGATGAGCTTAGCCTTTGGATCGGGAGACAGTGTGGATGGGCCTCATCTCATCGGTTGAAAATGAGACCAAAAAGGCTCAGCTGTGCCTACCCCGGCCTGACTATGGGGCTGGGACCGCCTTCTCCTGCCCCCGGGGAGGGCAGCAACCACTTTCCACGCTCCAGGTTCTCAGCCTCCAAAATCGGATGCACCACCTCCCGATAAGAAACCTCTGTATGTCTCCATCCCAGTGGCTCAGTTTTCTCAGATGAACATGGGCAAACACAGCCGGGTATGCGTCCCTGGCGCGTGTCCTGTCCTGTGGCCCCAGGCCCCCGGGGGGAGGGATGGGAGGGACACCGTGAGTGGCCGGCCACCCTGCTGCATCCTGACTTGGGCTGCTATTTGCCAGAGCTGGAGCTTCCCCACTTACAGGTGGACAAGTGTCTGTTTGGGAGGCGACCCCAAGAAGCCAGCTGTGGGTGTCGGGAAGTAAGACGGGGAAGGTAGGAAGCTGGGCGATGGGAGGTCACCCCAGTGGACAGCTGAGACCCAGCCGTGCGGGGGCGGGGAGCCTCAGAGGGATGGCATGGAGCGCCCCCCAGGGCATACTGAATCACCAGATCCCATCACGGGTCACAGGTTGCTCCTGAGGACGTGGGCTCCAGGGTGTTTCTGCCCTACGAGTGGCCCTGCTCACCGAGAAGCCACAGGAAGAAGGTGCAGGTGCTCTGGGCAGAAAAGCGGTGCACGTGTCTGGGACCCGTCCCCCAAAGGAAGCTGAGGCCCTCTGGGGTGGGTCGGGCAAACACAGGGACAGACAGGCCACTGGTGTCATCAGCGTGAAAAGGGTGATGGGTTTCTCACGCCAGATTTCTGCCTTTTGCTGGGAAAAATAACTCCTTCTGAAGCTGAAGAGTAACTGTCCCCTTAAGAGGGGCCCCATTCACTTACTTAGCCCCGGTGGCTGGGAGGGGACTGGGGACGTCTGCCCCAAGGACAGTCCCCAAAGCAGAATGACTCCCCTAGAGAACTCTTCCTCCAGGACAAAGCAGTACGGCCGTGCGCCTCCTAAGCGGGGTGGTCATCCCCGACTGGCACCAGGGATGGCGTCGAAGAGCTTAAGCAACACACTCGTCCAGCGGAGGAAGCAACGACTGCTCCCCTTGATGAGTGGCTGTCTGAGGGCCCAGGGCGCATGCGCCCGTGTCATTGGCGACAATCAGACTGTTATCCACTTGTGTTCTGCCTCTTAAAGGAAAATCCATACGTGCAGAGCCCGCGAGGGAGCACCTCCTGCTCGTTTGCCCCCCAAACCTCCCTGCATTATTCAGGAGCCTAATGAATTTGTCTCGTCCGGCAGTCTTACACATTGTCTGAATGTGTTTCGGAAATAACAGAAGAGTGAATCCTGCTGCTGCAAAGGGCCATGTGTGATTCTGCAGGTCCCCAAAACGGGTGTTTCCCGGGCTCAGGCCTGCGTGTGTGGAGATGCCGCGTGGACACTGGGGTGTTTCGCATGGTGAGAAACGTGCAGAGAAATTCCGCCTGAAGCCACCAATTCTAGAAGCGGTTGGAGAGTTTATGGGGCTTCCTAGGGAAGGGATGTCAGGACGACAGAGAAGCAGGGTGGTCGTGAGCCTGGTGGGGTCCCAAGCCTAGTGTCCCAGCTTCTGAGGGACCTCCGCTTGCCCTGCCCCCAGCCCGCAGGCGTCGTTGTGCAGGCGCGGGCCTGAATTCTGGGCACACGGAGGGCAGCTGGGCATGGAGACTCGCTGCCCAGTGTCCCCTGAGCATCGGCAGAGGCCGGCATCTCCGGGACACCCAGGAGACTCCCAGAGCAGGCGAGGGTGCAGGAGCCAACACCGGGGCCTTTCTCAGCCTCGGGACAGTGCGCCTGTAGGCCCTGCTGTGGCCTGGAAGGTGTCCAGGATACGGGCCCCAAGGTCTGAGTCCACACCCACGGCCACGCCTGGCTAACTGCATATAACTCCAGTTATACAGATGCTATGGGCTGGATGGTGGTCCCCAAAATGTACGTGTCACAATCCTAAACCCCGCGGCCTCAGGGCATGACTGTATTTGGAGAGAGGGTCTTTAAAGAGTGGATCAAAGTCTAAGGAGGTCGTTAGGGTGGGCCCAGTGTGACCTGACACCCGTCATTATAAACGGAGGTCAGACACGAGACGCCGTGGGGACGCAGAGAAGGCGGCCACCTGTCCCCGAGGGAAGAAGCCTCAGACCCCAGCCCCCGGGGCTGTGGGAGATCAACCTGTCCTTTAAACCTCCAGCCTGTGGAAGCTTCTTATGGGGGCCGAGTGAGCACAGCGGGCACCCAAAGCCCGACCTGGGGTCTCACAGAGCCGCCAGTGAGGCCAGGCAGCAGCGGACATGTGCTCTAGCGTGTCCGGGGGCCGCTCTGAGGTCGCTCCCTTGCATGCCGTGCTCCAGCACCTTCTCTGCGGTCCTCCGTTTCACTCGGGGCCCTGCAGGCCCCTCCAGGCTTTGGTCCAAACCCAAACCCGAGCGCCCTCCCTGCCCCAGGGTTTACGCTCTGGCCTGGGTGAGTCGGGGGCTCTAGACCGGCAAGAAGGCCGCCCGCCTCCCCCTGCCCCAGTCCTGTGACTTCGTCGGGGTGTTAAGCGGGGCACTCAGGCCCTGACTGCTGGGACGGTGCCCCGGGAGGATGATCGGGATTCAGCAGGAGGGGGCCCGTGGAGTCTGTGGGGCAGGACCCGCACCACCCAGCTGCCCGCCCGCCTGCCACGTGGCTCCACTGCGGGCCTGCAGACACCCAGGCAGCTGAGAGGTCATCTGGACTGCCAGGCAGAAGGTGGGCTCGCTGCTCCTCCATGTCTAGCTGGGGGAGTGGGGGCCTCGTTCATTCATTCATTCACTCATTGAGTCAGCAGACACTGGTGGGGGCCCCACCTGGGGCACACAGAATCTCCATCTTTCTGAGAGTCCTGGGGTGTCACGCCCATTTCACAGCTCTCGAAGTTGGGCCTCAGAGAGCTCACATCGTGGTCACATGGCCCCCGATGAGGCCGGCCCGGTGGGAGGCAGCCCATGAAGGGACCTACTTGCAGCCATGCCCGGGCGGGATGGGCAATCAAGAGGGTGCCAAGTGAGGGGGACCCATGCTCAGGTGTAACAGGGCCTCCCCCCAGCTGCCTGTCTGCCTGTCACCTCCAGCCTGGTGTTCAAAGGGAGGAGTTCAGGTGAGGGCCCTGGGCCCTGGAAGCTGCATCAGGAGGCCTGAGTTCTGAGCCCCACTTGTAAGTGGCGGCGCAACCTCAGTACGTCCGTCCGTGCCTGGCCCACCTAGAGATGCTCCTGTCCCCTGCTGTCACCAACACAGCACCATCAGCCCTTTGTGTTCTGTGTCCTCACTGCTGGCCCTGCTTCTCCAATAGCGTGGATGTTCCCAGAGCTGCGTCCCTCATCACTCCCAGGGCCCAGCCCACTGTCCCCGCAGCGCAGACACTCAGATGATATGAGCAGGGAGGCAGCTTGGCCCTGTGGCAGACCCTCCCTGCCTCAGCGGATACGGGGGACTAAGTCCAGTTAGGTTTCCAAGGCGATGGCAGACGACCGACACCTTCAAACAGAGGCCGGGCCCTGACCCTGGAGAGAGCGGAGACCGTGAAGCATCTTCCACACTATTCTAACCCCAAACATGTGGTGTCGTACACAGACCTTCCCAGAGGGCCTCGCTTCCACCCACTTTCTTGTTAATCACAACTTCTTAGCACCATAACAGTCCTCTTTGAAAAGCTGGTGGAAATCATGTGGGCACTCTGAAGTGTTACTGAGCTAGATACTCAGATAAAGATGCTATGTAACTGTGTTCCGCAGTATTGGCCGTTACACCAAAGCAGCTGAAATGATTCTTGCGTTTGATCGCGTTTGGTGGGTCCCATGTCGGCTGATAAAACAACACAGCAGCGGGCGGACACAATATTAGGCAACATTTCAAAATCCGCCCCTGACGCTGGATTTAGGAATTTTAATTTACTCCTTGTTTTCAAGGTCTTCAATGACCCCTTGCAGGCATGCTAAGCCACTTCAGTTGTGTCCAACTCTTTGCGACCCCATGGACTGTAGCCCGCCAGGCTCCTCTGTCCATGGGATTCTCCAGGCAAGAACACTGGAGTGGGCTGCCATGCCTTCTCCAGGGGATCTTCCTGACCCAGGGATCAAACCCATGTCTCTTACGTCTCCTGCATTGGCAGGCAGGTTCCTTACCACTAGCGCCACCTGGGAAGCCGTCAATGACACCTCAACACCCCTTAACATTTTTTAGAGCTAAACAAATTAAGTAGTTTTATAAAAGCAATTTAAAAAATTCCTACACACACAAGGAGGGAGAAGGAGGAGAAAGAAGTTATAGAAAGAGGCGGCCAGGAAACCCAGGAGGAGGAGGAAGCCCAGAGCCTAGGGAGCGGCGTGCACCCCACACGTGGGTCTGTCTTCGGGGTGGGGCCCTTTGCCCACCTTGAACTGGACCTGCTGGGGCAGCGGCATGAGCAGGACGGCTGCCCAGGCAGGGACCAGGCCGCCACCAGCAGAGGAGGCAGGGTGGGGCTGCATCTGGGCTGAATCTCCTGGGCCATGGAAGGGGCAGGCCACGCTCACCGAAGGCCAGCTGCAGGGATAGGTGACCACGGGCTCAGCCTAGGCCGTGGGGAAGGGAAGGCTCTGACAGGGTCCTCACTGGACACACAGGTTTCCTGACTGCCCGGCATCCTTGGTACCTGCAGAGTCCAGGGCCGCCCTGGGCCTCCGTTCAGCTCTGCACTTAGCTCCAGAGAGATGTGGGCCACCCTGAGTTCTTGGAGGTCAGCTGTGCCTTCACCCTGCCCCTTCGTGGGGCCGGCCGTAGGGGACTTGGGTTGGTGTTGATCCCGGATGCGTGTGCGAGGCCCCTTGCTGCTGGGTGCCTCACCTGCATGATCTCCTTTATCCACACAGCCCCCTTCTCCCCCAGCCAGGAGGTGCAGCCAAGCCTGTCCCGTGGGGAGGAGCCAAGGTCCAGGGGTCCAAGCGGCTGGGCACCTCGGCTTTACAGGAGCAGAGATGGGCCCGGAACCAGGCGTGGCCTCGGTCCCTCCCACCCAGCATCTCGTGCGCGCCTGCCACCCCGCAACGCTGAATGGAAGCATAGCTGAATGAGCAGGATGCCTCTCGCGTGCGGCTGCAGAAAAGCAGGTCTTATTTAATTAATGACTGGCTCTGTAATTGCCATTTCGAGGCGCGCCGAGCGCCGCCGTCTGCGATGGGCTTTCTAGACTATTTTGGCGCCAGTGGCCTGATGTGGAAGCGCTGCGCCTGCCCTGGGACCCAATGCCTCATCCATCAACTGCCTCCTGCCCAGCGCAGCGGATCAATACCTGCTCCCACCCCGGGGCCACTCCCTGGGGGGCCCAGGCTGGGCACCGCCCTCCCTGGACTCTGCTCACTGCAGTCATCTCCAAAGAGGCTGGCATTACCCCCCTGCCACACTGGGCTCTCAAAGGGGCAGCTTCAGAGGCCTGCTCAGAGGCTGGGCAGGCGGCCCCTGTGTACTCAGACCCCCCACTGGCCTCCGCCAACCCCGCACCCTACCCTGCACCCACACACCTTCCCCTGGCGGGGACACACAGGCTCCCAGCTGGGGCCATTTGCTCTGCTCCCAGTCTCTCAAAATTTCCACTTATGCTTCCAGACTCTGCTTCCCCTCGTTGGAATGTTAAATGTGTCCCCGAGGGGCGTTCACCTGTCCTTGAGGCTGGGCCTTGTCACCCCCATCAGTTTTTCCCACTACCTGTTCATGCGTTTGCCTCCCCACCAACCAGATGTCTGGGGGAACTGTGTCCTCTTAGGGACCCTGGTGCACAAGATGGTACTTCATGGTCATAAACCCCCGAGTAAGTGAGGGTGGGCTGGAGGGGCCACACGGGGGAGAGACCACCCTCAGGGAGCTCGCAGCCAGGCAGGTAAGGGGGACAGCAAAGAGGCCACAGCCTCCTCGCCCCTGTTGTCAATAGGACTGTGTCCCCAAAAAGACATGCTGAGTCCCGATGTCTGTGCCCTTATTAGATTGAGTTATTTGAAGTTGGCCCTGGTTTACTTACCTGTGAGACAGGGTGATGCTCCTCGTTCATTCCTCAAATATTAATGAGCATCTGTTACAGGCCTGGTCCCGATTGGGGCACGGTATGGCATGTTCAATTCCGTTCAGTTCAGTCGCTCAGTCGTGTCTGACTCTTTGCGACCCCATGAACCGCAGCACGCCAGGCCTCCCTGTCCGTCACCAACTGCCGGAGTTTACCCAAACTCATGTCCATTGAGTTGGTGATGCCATCCAGACATCTCATCCTCTATTGTCCTCCTCTCCTCCTGCCTTCAGTCTTTCCCAGCATCAGGGTCTTTTCCAGTGAGTCAGTTCTTCACGTCACGTGGCCAAAGTATTGGAGTTTCAGCTTCAGTCCTTCCAGTGAATAGTCAGGACTGATTTCCTTTAGGATGGACTGGTTGGATCTCCTTGCAGTCCGAGGGACTGCATGTTTGGCGATGGACAAAACAAGCAAGAAGTCCTGGCCTGTGGGACGGTTGTTTCCTGGGGGAGGCTGACATAAACATTCTACTGGGCAGCGATGAGCCTTGGAGAAGAACAGGCAGGACAGAGATGGGGAGTGAGGGGGCGGGGAGCCTGGACGGGGTGAATCCTCCTAGAGGAGGGGTTCCCAAGAGAGTGGGCTTTTCCAGAGCAGCCCTGGAGAAGGTAAGGGTGCAGTTCATGGATGTTTGTGAAAACTGAACAATATAATTTTATGCAAGAGTGGGTGAAAGTGAAAGTGTGAAAGTTATGTCCAAGTGTGAAAGCTCAGTTATGTCCAACTCTTTGTGACCCCATGGACTATACAGTCCCCGGAATTCTCCAGGCCAGAATACTGGAGTGGGGAGCCTTTCCCTTCTCCAGGGGATCTTCCCAACCCAGGGATCAAACCCAGGTCTCCCGCATGGCAGGCAGATTCTTTACCAGCTGAGCCACCGGGGAAACCTAGAAAGAGTGGGTAAATCATGCAAATAAACAATCCCCCTCAAAAATCGATGCAGTTTCCTTGTTTAAACCCATCCCAGTTTCTGCGTAGGGAGGGGGGAGTCCATGGCAGAACAAGGCACCCTCCAAGGACAGCACTGGCCGCTCATGAACCACAGGAACCAGGAGGCAGGGAAGGGTGCAGAGGGCGACGGAGCCAGCCTTGGCCACTTTTCCTGGGGAGCACTGGCTCTTCTAGGCAGGAGAAAAAGTGAGACGTGAGCTTTTCCTAGGAGGAAGCTCTGCAGGGTGGACACAACTGAAGAACCCACCAGAACGCTTGGTGGCTTGACGGAAAACAGTGACAAGAAGACAGACTGACTTCCCAAGGAAAGCATGGAAGCTAGGAGGCAATGGAACAACCTCTTTAAAACACTGAAAGAAGCCCCCTGCCAGCCTGGACTCTCTGTCCAGATGAAATGCTCTTTAAATTGAGAGTGAAAGACATCTTTAGACAAACAAAGCTTGCTTCCTTTGTCACTGGGCATACTTGCACTAAAGGAAATTCTATAAAGGAGACGAAAGAAAGACAACCTGGGGAAAACACGTAGGTGTGGGGAGGGAGGAACTGTAAGGAAACGGCAGTCGTGCTCCTAAATGTATGTGCTTACCCACACAGTTGTTCAAAGCAATGAGAATGTGTTACGGGGTTTAAAATTTATGTATAAACAAAAGGCAGGAAATGAGCATGTAAACTATGAGTCGAGTACATGGAATTAAAGTGTCTTAAGGTTCTAACGTCATCAGGCAGTGGTAAGAAGGAAATCAATTTTATGAGACTGTAATGAGTCAATAATGTGTGTTTTAATTTCTAGGTTACACTAAAAAAGTTAATAGAGAGAAATGGGATAATTGTTTTAAAAGAGATTAATTCTAAGAATTCAAGAAATAGGAAGACAAACAGGAAACGAATAGTAAGTTAGTATTAGTCACTCAGTGGTGTCTGACTCTTCACGACCCCAAGAACTGTAGCCCACCAGGCTCTTCTATCCATGGGATTCTCCAGGCAAGAATACTGGAATTGGTTGCTGTTCCCTTCTCCAGGGGATCTTGCTGACCCAGGGATCAAACCAGGGTTTCCTGCAGGGTTCGATTGCAGGCAGATTAAAACATCTTGCAGGCAGATTCTTTACTATCTGAGCCACCAGGAATGCCCAAATAGTGAGACAGTAGTTATAAGCCAACTGTATCAGTAATTACACTAAATATAAGTAGACTAAATACTCTAAGTTAAAGTATAAGATTGTCAAGCTGGATAAACCCTTCACAGGTCACACCTCTTACATCAGACAAAAGTTACTCCTCATTAGCAGAGCTCTCAAATTCCTGCCCATCATGGTTCTGTCAAGCCTTGTTTGAGACACTATCGTCCTTGTACATCATGCAACAGAAACACCAAAACGCTCACACTATTCAAAACCTCAGACCTCCAGGCCCTTACACACGCTGTTTTCTATGCCTGGAATGTCCCCCCCACAAACACACACAACTGTCCCACCCTCACCCCAAATATACGCACGTGTACACTCACACATTATTTGCTTGGGTCATGACTTGAGACCCAGATCAGGCGAGACCAGGCTCCACAAAACCTATCGCCCTCCTTTTTTTCTATTTCACACTTCTTGTGGCCTTTACACTGTTTTGGTCACTGTTCCTCCTCCCGCTGTGAGGAAGCTCACCAAGAGAAGGGACCGCAAGGGTCCATTTACTGCAACTGGGAGACAGGGCCAGCACGTGAGACCCTGGGAGCTTCACCGCCTGCAGAGAGCAGTCCTCACGGATGGGCTGACGTCAGTGGGCCCTCGGCAGATGCCAGGCTTCTCAAGCATCGTTACCTAATCCACAGGAGACCTCTGAGCTGTAGGAACTGCTATTACACCGCTGTACCGATGACGCCAGGGCTTACAGGAATAAAACTGGCCCCGGGACTCCGCTAGGAAGCACTCTGCAGCAGCTTTCAGTTGAGTGAGGAGGCCTGCTTTTAACAAGTGAAGGGGAGGAGGCATAAGAGAGGTCTAGAGGCTGGGGGGGGCACAGGACAGGGGCAGCCAGCCTGGTCACGGGAGTCCTAGAGGGCTTCTCAAGGAGGTGGCATTGAGGCTCATCCAGCATTGGATGAGGAGGAGCTGGGGATGAGGGCAGAGAGCACTCCACGCAGTGGCCTGAGCTGTGTGTGGTCCCAGGATTGGGACAAAGTCCTCAGCGTCTCTCCCCGGCATCTCAGACTCTTAAGAATCTGCCTGCAATGCAGAAGACCCTGGTTCGATCCCTAGGTCGGGAAGATCCCCTAAAGAGGGAAATAGCCACCCTCTCCAGTATTCTCACCTGGAAAATCCCACTGACAGAGGAACCTGGTGAGCTACAGTCCATGGGGTTGCAAAAGAGACACAACTGAGTGGCTAACGCTTTCACTTTCCACAACATCAGTCAAGCTGCCAAAGACTCACGTGGTGGAGTCTCAGAGTGAGGAGGGCATGGTAAGAGTGGAGTCCAGCGAGGATTCCTGGCCATCCAGTGCCTGGCACACTGTTGGTGCCCTGGGAATTATCTTAGGACCAAAGAGAGCTCACCAGTGACCCAGCCGTTGAAAGATAAAGCCTGCTTGGACCCAAGCATCCAGGTTGTTAGGGTTGTTTCCGGGCCCTCGGAGTTTTCAGCAGAGCCTTGTCCTGGGTGGAGGGAGGTGGGTGGCCAGGCCCACCGCTTGTACTTGATACCCGCCTCCTCCTGCAATTCTCTCTCCACCCCGAGGCCAAGGTATCACAGATGAAGGCCCGGGGGCCCAGGGCAGCCCAGCCTTCCTCACACAGAGAAAGGAGCAGATGTAGACCCCACCTCCTCACGGCCTACTGGAGAAGACAGCTGTGCAGGTCAGAAGATATGCAACCCTAGTCTCACGTGCCTGCTGGGCCTGTGTGAGCAAGCCGCAGCCTTCACCCCGATTCCCTTGTATCTGCACTTTGCAAACAGGGAAACCGAGGCTTAGAGAAGCGGTTCCTTAATCTTCCTGCGAGATACAGCCATGCCTGGGGGCAGGAGGGGAAAGCTCACGGGTAAAAGACCTGCTGGCCCAGCCCCATGGCTTCCTGCATCCCCCCTCACTTCCTCTGGGCCTCAGCTTCCCCGACTGTGAAACCAGGAGGTTCAGTTCAGTTCAGTTGCTCAGTCGTGTCCGACTCTTTGCGACCCCATGGACTGCAGCACGCCAGGCCTCCCTGTCCATCACCAACTCCCAGAGTTTACTCAAACTCATGTCCATTGAGTCGGTGATGCCATCCAACCATCTCATCCTCTGTCGTCCCCTTCTCTCCTGCCCTCGATCTTTCCCAGCATCGGGGTCTTTTCCAATGAGTCAGCTCCTCGCATCAGGTGGCCAAAGAATTGGAGTTTCAGCTTCAGCATCAGTCCTTCCAATGAATATTCAGGACATATTTCCTTTAGGATGGACTGGTTGGATCTCCTTGCAGTCCAAGGGACTCTCAAGAGTCTTCTCCAACACCGCAGTTCAAAAGCGTCGATTCTTCGGGAGGTTGGCCTACCGGAATCTAAAGGTCGCTGGCTGTTCCAGGGGCCCCGTGGGTCTTGGAGGATTAGTGCCCTGTGTCCTGCATGTGGAGCTTGGCCACAAGACCCTTTTGTCTTTCCTGAGGCTGTCACCCCCTCCCTGACAAACCCTCTGCGCCCTCCCCACTCTAGCCCTCCCCGAGCTATTTCTCCCTTGCCCCCAAGTCAGCACATCCATATTCAAGCAGAACTGGCTCCCACCCCCCCCACCCACATCACCAGGTGTGCAGAAACGCAGAGTTAATTCCTGAGCAATTAATCCCATTAACAGGCAGTGATTCACAGCCTTCAACCGGGAGGCCGCCTTCATTATGGAGTGTTAACCAGGGCAGAGCAGCACCTCCCTAATCCTTTGCAAGTCATGTCGGGCGGCCGCCTGGACACCCAAACACCCGCCACTTGGAAAATGTCCTGGAAATGAACTGCCCCTCCCACGCCTCCACGGCATCCCGCGTGCACGCACCACCACTCCACACTCCCCAGGTACCGACCCACGTGGGAGCTGAGTGCTTGGAAGGCCTGGGGGGGGCAGAGGTGCCCTGCCAGCCCGTGCAGTGTCCACCCCCCCCAACTCGCCCCCCAACGCTGAGCGGATGTCAACAACCCACGGCTGATTGAGAACGATCGTTTTCAGCATGGAGTCAGCCAGGAATGGATTTATCAAACTGTTAACTGTGCTTATCGCAAATCACTTTAATGATGTGTTAACATTTAATTAGATCGCTACCGAATGCTTCTGATTACACATACTGCCCGTGAACCTGACCATCAGAGCAAAAACAGTCCCGGGAAATGGGCCGGCTGCCCCTGGCCTCGGCCGGATGCGGGGTCCTAGGCCCCGCAAAGAGCTCCCTGGCAGGGTGAATTTCTGGGCATCCGTTTTCAGCCTCGGGCGAGTCCCTCACCTTATGGAGTGGGGGGAGGGGATGCGTTGTTGACATCCTGCATCTCCTAGAAAACAGACGTCTGCTGTCTTTCTCCCGGCAAATCAGAATGGTGGGCCTGCCGTCTGCAAGGCGAGGACTCTGATGCCACGAGGACGCAGAAGGGAGAGTGGGGCGTAGACCCCTGCTTCACCGCGGCTGCCTTGAGAAGACAGCCATGCAGGTCAGAAGACACGCACTCCTAGGGCTCATGTGCCCGCCCCGCCCGTGGTGAGCAAGCCGCAGCCTTCACCCCAATTTCCTCGTACCTGTACTTTACAAACAGGGAAATCGAGGCTTCCAGAAGCGGTCCCTTAATCTGCCCTCGAGATGTAGCTGTGCCTGGGGGCAGGAGGGGAGAGGTCACGGGTGAAAAGACCGCTGGGGTCACAGGGGGCTGAGACATTGAGCTAAGGCGCTTCATTCACGCTGCAGGGAGCCACACGGTCCCCTCATATTGAAGATACGAGGCAATAAAAGATGATTCAATTTAATCACTTGGAAATAGGAAATCTAGCAGTGAGCCCTGCCCTCTGTGTGCCTGGGGCCGTGTGGGGCCGGCCTGGGGGCCGACCGGGAGCGGCAGGGGCTGCTTCTCACGGCTCTGCGTGTCCAGATCCTGCCAGGATGGCTGGACGCCCACGAGACCCTCTCTCTCCATCACATACACATGCACACACACACACACACACACACACGCGCACACAGGTGCGTGTGCATGCAGTCCTGTGTGCATCTGTGTATGCAAGCAAGCACACACACATGCCTGCACACTCACACGCACACACGGCTGCACCTAGCGTCTGCCTCGCGTGGCTCACACCATCACAGACACAGCACCCGACCGCCCTCCGTGTTCCCATCCCCGCAGACGGAGAAGCCTCGCTGCTCCTTCCCCTGGGCACGACTTGGGCAAAGGCCCGTTTCCAGAGGCCGCGCGGATGGCCCCCGCTGCCCTGCCCCTCCTCGGGGGCCACAGTGGCCTGGCACCTCCGCCAAGGGGCCAGGGCAGCAGCTGGGCCGCCTCCACCACCCCGGCTGTGCTCAGAGCCGGCCGCGGCCCCCAGAAGCCCTCCCTGACGTGACGCGAGCAGACAGGCGCAAGGAACAGGCCCCGCGGTCATGCAGAACGCAGGGAGGTTCCCGGCCGGGCAGCCGGCCAAACGACGCTGTGCCCCCCGCCCCCAGTCTGGAGCGCCGGAACCCGGGCCCCACGTAGCGGGAGCCCCGTCAACCAGAGGAAGCCGGAGGCCTGGGGCCGTCCCGTGAGGGCCCGGACCTTGTTGGGGGCCAGGGAGGCATGGAGTGGGGAGGCGAGGGTAGCGGTGCCACGTGGCGTCCAGAGTCGGCCCAGCCCACAGCCCATATGGAAGCTTCCAGATGAGTCGGTCCGTGAGAAGAGAGCAGGCGTCTGTTCACCGGGCCCCAGAGCCTGGGGCAGCCTGGGGAATGATTGACCTGCGGTGAAATCGTGCGTCCTTAAGCTGGCGAGCCCTGGGCTGCCCGACAGATTCCACATACGGGTCAGCTCCCTGAGACAGATTAGCACCAAGCTGCCCCTCCACCCCCGCCTGCCCTGCGGGTGCTGCAGAACCCGGAGCTGCCCCGATGTGCTGCCGCCTCCCACGCCGCCGAGGACAAAGGCCAGAGCAGGAGAGCCCAGGGCCCCAAACCCAGCTCGTCCTATCCGAGCCCCTCTGGCGGAACCCTGAGTGGGCTGAGGTTGTTTCCTCGCCCTGGGGATGGCCATCATAGGTGGAATCCGCCTCCCGGGACCCGGCTGGGAGAAGGTGCTCATGAGGGCCAGGGCCGGGGCCTCTGGGCTCTGGGCGGGGCTACGGCAGGGCGCCGGTCACTGTCACTTCCCAGGTGACACGCAGCCAGCAAGGAGACCTGTGTCTCCTGAGCCGAGTCCACACCTGCCCAGAGAAGCTTGACAACTCTACTCGCTCCAGAGCGGAACCCCCCGCCCCATGCACAGTGCCTCTGTTCTCCGTCTGTCCCACACCCTCTTGCAGACCGGTGGGAGCTGCTGGAAATTTGGGGGACCCGGGGCCTCTCACCACAACAGAAAGTGCCTCCAGGGTTGGCAACAGAGGGCATTGTGAAGCCGGATGGCTGGGTCCTTTTTTTCTTATTTGCTCTGGATGCTGCCTGTTTGGAGTGAGTCTGACAGAGGATGATGTCGGGGGTGGGGGGTGAGCGATAGGAATGCTTCTTTTTTGCTGGTGGGAATGAAAACCTTCGGAATCTGTCAGTGCAATCCTTCGGAAAGCTGTCCAGCATTGTCTCCCAACACCAAGAGCTCCCAGCCCAGCAATTCCACTCCACTGCACAGCCCAGAGGGGCCCGTCTGGGGTGGGGGGCATCAGGGGATGAGCCCCGAGATGCTCACAACAGCATCCCTCACTCGGGTCCCAACTAGGAACAGCCCAGTTCACCTGGGGTGTGCGTGAGCCCCTGTGCCTGGGGTGAGGTTTCCAGTGCGTCCTTCAGTGAGGACAGGTCGCCGGAGGATGGGATTCCTCCTAGCTTCTTCCTTCTCTGAGCGGTCACGCGCGAGTCTGGGGACACGGCTGCATCCCACATGTCACTCCCGGTGCCTTCCAGGAGGCGGAGGGGCCAGCAGGCAGCCTTGGGTGGCCCTGTGATGAGCGTTGGCCAACAGGATGTGAGTGGATGAGACGTAGGCCCTGTCCAAGCAGGTGCCTTTAAGGATGACTCTGTATCTTCTCCTTTCTTAGATACAGCGAGCCAAAAACCTAACAAAGCCAAAAAGCCTGACAAACGGCAACTTCATGAGCTTACTTGGAAAAAGAGAAACGACAAAGTGATCAACAGTCCCCAAATCCAAGGAGAAAGAGGAACCGGTGGGAGGACTTAATGTGAGCACTTGCTCTGCCTGCAAGTGAAAGTGAAGTCGCTCAGTCGTGTCCGACTCTTTGTGACCCCATGGACTGTAGCCCACCAGGCGCCTCTGTCCCTGGGACTTTCCAGGGCAAGAATACTGGAGTGGGTTGCCATTTCCTTCTCCAGGGGATCTTCCTGACCCAGGGATTGAACCCGGGTCTCCCGCACTGCAGGCAGACTCTTACCCATCTGAGCCACCAGGGGAGCCCTACTGTGCCTGAGATGGGGCTTAATCAGAACCAGAAGGGGGGTCTGACTCTCACCTGTGGCCAGGTCACGGGCACCACGCTGCGAGGAACAGTGGGATGCTTCTGGGGGTGGACAAGAGCTTGCCCCCTTTGAGGCTTGTGCAAAGGAAGACAAGAGTTGAGGTAGGAGCAGATACTGAGGAAAAAAATCCTCTCTGGCAAAGCAGCCCGGCCCCCACCCTAAAGCCAGGTCTGTGGAGGAATTTGAAGCTTGCGGTGCCCTCGGGGTAACTAGAGCAAGAGAAAGCGCCGTCTCAGCCCATTTCTTGACTGATCAGCTCCAAGTTGTCCACATTACAGGCCATTGAGAAGGAAACAGGCACACAGACTGCTTTCCTCTCCTATTTGCTTTCAGCAAAAAATCGTGATGAATTAAAAGGCAAAAAACCACGATGGATTCCTGGGCTCCTGCACGCCCTCTGTCTCTGTCCCAGCCCGGCTCTGGTGACTAGGAACCAGAGTCCCAGAAATCCAGGCGCTTTGTCCAGACCGAGCGGCCCACCACGGAAGGGTCAGGACTCACGACTGTGCCCGAGAGTGCTTCCTGCATGTCTGTGTTGTTCTCATGCAGCACTTGCTCTTAAACAGGAAAAAGGAGGTGAGCCCATTTCAGATTCGTAACTTCTGCATGTGTGGGAAAGCTGAGGTCACTGGCAACGAGCTGTCTCAGACTCCAAGGCAAGATTGCTATATAGGGAGAGAGGGGCCACGGGCTCAGGGCCCCCAGGGATGATGCAGTGGACATCAGTGAGAGGAGATCAGCAGGACCGGGAGGTACCCTGGGAGGGTGAGCACCAGCCAGGTGCACTGGGGGGCTGAGAGCTTGGAGGAGCCCCATCCTCTGTGGGATCTTTCTTGAAGACCTTCAAAAAAGGTCTCAAAGAAACCCAAAGACATGTCCACTGTGGTGTGGCCCCAGAGGAGGAGAAGGGCAGCACGTGGAAGGGACAAGACCCATCACTTGGGTCCTTCGTGGAGCAAAACCTTAATCTGGCCAGGGTATCGGGGAAGCTGTGGAAGGGGGCCCTTCTCCTGGGGTAAGGGCAGGATTAAGCAGTGAACCCCCAAGAACAGTTGGAAAATGAGCAGGAAGACCACAGCCCCAAGAATTCCTGGAGCACGTGCAGCCCTCAGACTGAGGCTGAATCAGGACCACAGCGATCACACGCCCTCCAGCTCCCGTCACCATGGTAACCAGATGTGAAGCCCAAAGAAGAGTGAGCTGGGAGAGCACAGAGAAGGAAGCCGGGGGGAGGACCTCTCAGAGGCTCCGTGCCCAAGGAAGACCCCATGCTCAGAGCGGGCAGACGTGCCTAGACATTGCCTGCCTGCACTGCCACCTGAAGCTGCCACCTCAGCCACAGCGCATCTCAAACCCTTCCCAACCCTTACCCAAAGCAGCAGAAAGCCCCACATTAACGGTCCAGCAGAAAGAAGGATGTATGACTTCTCACAAAAAAACCCGGGGCTTGTGAAAAGACCAGAGAAACAGATGTGTTCCGAAGAGACAGAGCAAGCCTCAGAACCAGACTCAGATACCATGCCCATGCAGGAACTGTCTGACCAGGAATCTGAAGTCATTGGGACTTTCCTGGGAGTCTAGTGGTTAAGACTATGCGCTTCCAATGCAGGGGGTGCAAATTAGACCCCTGGTTGGGGAACAAAGATTCCCCAACATGTCCCAAGGTGTGGTTAAAAAAAAAAAAACAATAATAATAAAATGAAATAACCACGATTGATGTGATGGGAACAACTTGCATGATCAGATGGTCATTTTGGGTTTTTTTGTCGTTGTTGTTTGATTTCTTTTTTTTATCTTTTTTTTTTCATTTATTTTTATTAGTTGGAGGCTAATTACTTTACAATATTGTAGTGGTTTTTGCCATACATTAACATGAATCAACCATGGACTTACATGTGTTCCTCATCCCGATCCCCGCTCCCGCCTCCCTCTCCATCCCATCCCTCTGGGTCTTCCCAGTGCACCAGCCCTGAGCACTTGTCTCATGCATCCAACCTGGGCTGGTGATCTGTTTCACCCTTGATAGTATACTTGTTTCAGTGCTGTTCTGTTCTCTCAGAACATCCCACCCTCGCCTTCTCCCACAGAGTCTAAAAGTCTGTTCTGTACATCTGTGTCTCTTCTTCTGTTTTGCATACAGGGTTATCATTACCATCAGATGGTCACTTTGGCAGAGAGACAGAAATGTGGAGAAAGGCTCCAAAGGAAATAGTGCCAGTGAAAATGCATAAACAGGGAGGAAGAAGGTCTTTCGTGGGAGATTCAGTAGGATCAGTGGGAGCTACACGGTTGAGGAAAGGGCCACCAAACATGGAGGTAAGTCAAAAAATTACCTGAGCAAGAGAAAAGAGCAAAAATAAAACTGATAGAGCAGACATGGGTTGTGGGACAATATCAAACATTCTGACACGTGTAATTGAAATGCCAGTAGGGGAGGAGAGAACGGATGGAGAGATGCTCAAAGAAATGACGAATGGCAGACACCAACACGCAGATCCAAGAAGGAAGGTGGTGGAGGCAGGCAGAGTTCAGACGACTTTTCGGGCAGTGGGGATACTGTGTGTGATACTACACTGAGGGATCCGTGTCATTATACATGTGTCCAAGCCACAGAATTACAACAGCAAGGGTGCCTCCTAAGGTGAACTGTGTACTTCAGGCGGCTGTGACCTGTCAGCGAAGGTTCATCGTTGATAAACCACGTACCGTTCTGATGAGTGAGGCTGATTGTGGAGGAAGCTCCCCATGTGTGTGTGGGGGGGGTGGTCAGGTGGTATATAGGAAATCTCTGTATTTATCTCTCAATTTCATTGTAAACCTAAACTGCTCTTTAAAAATAATTTTTAAAAAAAAGCTCTGAGAACACCAACCAACATAAACACCAAAATCAAACAAACAGATTAAAAAACCTCAAACAAACGCATAACCACATGCAGGCATACTCTCCAAAGACAGAGAGAAAATAAGGCCAACCAGAGCGGGGAGAAAAGAAGCATTATATACAGAAGAATCCTGGAGGAGAACATGGCAACCCACTCCAGTGTTCTTGCCTGGAGAATCCTCATGGACAGGGGAGCCTGGTGAGCTACGGTCCATAAGGTCACAGAGAGTCAAACAAGACTGAACTGACTGAGCAGGCATGCATGCATAGGGAAGAATAAAGATACAGTTTACAGTGGAGTTCTTATCAAAATGATGCAAGACAGAAAACAATGGAGGGTATCTTCAAAGTGTTGGAAGGAAGAAAAAACTGTCAACTTCAAGAAAATATCTTCTCCTAAATGAAAAGGGAAGTAACAACCTTCTCAAATAAATAAAAATTGCTTATTTGAGACAAAATGCTTTTCAAGGAGATCAACAGCAAAAGAAGTGCTAAAGAAGTTCTTCAGGTGGAAAACCCTTATATTGGGCTGAAATTTAGAAATGAAGTTGCTGGACATGGAATCAATGAAGATGAAATTAAACCCATTTTTTCCCTATTTTCTAACTGCTCTAAAGGATAAACTATCTAAAGGAAAAATTGTAGCAATATGTTTATGGCATATAAAAAAGTAAATAAAAAGAAATTGAAAATATAACATTCTAAGGTCTTTATATGTGAAATAGTTCAGTGTTATTTGAAGGTAAACTCTGATTTATTAAAGATAAATATTTA